TGTAACTATAAATGAAAAATATTTTTAAAAGAAGCAAAAGTGTTACACGAATAGTATTTCAGTGTTTCAATATAAAGAATGAAAAATGTCTAGTAGTTGTATCTTTTTTATTACGAATTATCTTGCTCGATCCAGTCCCAAATACTAACAGGAAGAATACATCAGAAGTATGCTGTGTGTTACACTTTGTTCTTTTTTCCCTATTACTTGCTACCTCCTAAAGCTTGCATTAGACTCAGACACTTTATCTTCAAAGCCCAGATTCTATCACCATGGCTGCCTAAAGGAATCTCTCAGTGAAAGGTTTTGCTGCTTCAGGACCATCCTTGTAAGCTGACCAAATGGGGAGCTCTTATCGTGTGGTTTAGCTTCTGTAGTCCCCCATACATTCTCCTCCTCTATGTCTTGCTCTCTCTTCAGGGTCCCGTCAATTGGCTCAGCCAGCTGATCTAGCTCAACCTACAATCATTCACAATGAGTTTAGACTCTTAGAGAAAACTGAGAGAAAAGTGAATATCATCTAATATTTTCTCTGGGGTTAGCAAATACTAATAAGCTAGGAAAGGCTTGAAATGGGGCAAAGGTAACATATTGAAAACAAATACAATTTAGTATACCAATATTATATCCTGTAATGCATGAATATCAAATACATAATGGATAATCAGGGGAAGTAATATCTGAATGAGATTAATCATAGAAAGTATTATTCTATGCACCAGGAATCTAAAATTCAAAGCAAAATGAAAACAAGGACAGTCAGAATAATGACTCCACACTAGCTTTTTCTTCTATTGGAAGGAAAGCAGTCTGAGAGAGGAAGAGGTTGAAGTCAGGTATGGGGTCAAATCATCCATTTCCTTATAGGCAGAGAAGAGTTCACCGGATGCAAAAAGCAAAAGAAAACATTATATGATTCACCCCAAGAGAAAGAAAATAAAACATTTTAAAAAGATTTGAAATATATGAATATCCATGTAAAATGAACTACGAAGTGGAGAGTAAACACAAGGAAATACTTTGCGCTCTCTTGTTTCATCTTTACTATGGATGAGAATACTGTTCCTGAAATGTTATATGGTCTTTTCAAATTGCCTTAAGAAGACTTTGTATTTTAACCTGTTACCATGGTATTTCTTTCTTTCTTATAGTTATACTGAAGTTTTACCTATATAATTTCCTACTTTATTGAATAAATCACCTATTTTAGAAATAGTAATTTCTCTTTCATAACTTAAATAATGGTCCAAAATTTTGTAAATTATACAGTTAACAAAAGTGAAAGATACATTCATTCTTCTTTGTATATAAATTACATGTACCTCATTTTTTACATTATAAGTCAAATTTCCTCTATCATTTTTTATTTTCCCTAGATCCAAACCCACCATCTGCTCTGTGATACTATAGATGGCTGGGAGTAGGCAAAACATATCTTCACTTTGCCAACTTGCTCCCTGTTAGACTCTGACAATAAGAAGTGTTCAGAAAGAGACAAAAAGGCTAGAAGAATAAAAAATGTACACACCCTTTCTTGTTAATTTCCAATCCCCTTTTTGTTTCCCATCCTCGTGGTTGTTACTTCAGGAATGTTTCTTTGCTCTGGAAGTGGCAGATAGTTTCAACAGCAGCCTTGGATATCAATTTGCAGATTCTCTAGTACCCATAGAGCAAGTTCATAACACTCCCTCAAAGTTGCCCAGCACCACCCAGCCAGTATCTCTTCTTTAGGTACGTGAATTTCATCTCTGAAGGGAACATCATTCATGTGTCTAATTTTTAACAATTTAAAACTCTTCTGTTTGTTGCTAAGTCCTAAGGTTGCTAGAGACTTCTTGTAGTTCCTACCTACATGATACTTTAATGTACTCTTTGCCGTCTTTTATTTTTTCAATCTCCACTTAACTCGTTTGTTAAATTCTTTCTGTTAAAATAATTAATGTGGTATGTACCTCCTCATCAGATCTTACTGGCTGATAGACATCAGTACCAAGGGTGGGCACTAAAAAAAAAAGAGAGAGAGAGACCTTCGAAGATGAATGTTTGTAATCAGTTTCGTCATGTCTTTGGTCAAGAACAAGTTACTGAGCTCCTTACAAATGGTAAACGGGATGCTACTAGTCCACACCATATACTGGCATCATAATTAACTACATTATCGTCTGTGTTTTATGGTGATAAAGCAAGTTCCTTGGGGGCCAAGTGACTGCTTTGCTCAACTGTTAACTGCAGTCAGAATGACCCCAAGAGTGCATGGTATTATTTACCAAAAGAAAACAACAAGCTCAGCTCTTTAAACTCTCAGCTTCAATTAAGAGTCAGAACTGTAGAAATTCCAAGACAATCCTAAAATAAACCCTTATTCCTTATAGCCACAGGGCTAGTCTTAATTAAAATCAGACACAAACTTTAATTGAATAGGTTGCAAAATTATAACAGAAGTTGAATTTACAGCCTCATCCATTCTCTCATGTAAAGGTAAGAACACTGTTTGGGAGAGAGTGGGATCTTTACAATTGAAAAGGACTCTTTGGGTTGAACTGTCTGTGCAAATCAGAGACACTTGCTAACGGAAGTAGCCTGATTTCTTGTTTAGTAAGAGACCAACCTTCCCTTACTTAAAGACCTCATAATAACCTCACCTGGGGGCTCACAAATAAATGCTTATTCTCAAGACTCTTTTGTTGCCATTCTGTCCACAACTGGAATCATATCACAGCAATGATCCAGGAAGGCAAATACAAAGTCTGACTAGGAAGGAAAATGCTTATACATCAAAACCATAGTAAGAATCGCTTCTCGGCCGTTTGGCTAACCATTGCAAGAGTATTATGCATTTATATTGGCAGAAATCTGGGAATATGATTTAGAATTAGATCTATGTTTGATTAGCATAACTAAGCCCAAACATAAATTTATAGTTTGTAATGAATGCTACAAATGCTTTATATCAATTATGGTATATACCAATAAATGGTACCAATGGCTTTTACAGTGCTGAGTTCAAGTTATCTCATTTAATTTACCCCAATCCTCAGTAACACTATAACTATTATTTTATAGATAAGAAAATTAACTTCTACAAGCTGAGTTTACTGTCCAAGGTCAAGTGGTTATTTAGTAGCATAGCTGGTGCTCAAACCTGACACATTTGTTTTTCTTCTTCCTTCAACCCTATTCTGAAATAAAACTTCATTATAAAATTCATTTCCCTCATTGAAGCAGTTTTAGTGTAAGATGTCTCAAGAGAAATTCAACTAGTTAAATTTAGAATATTGAACAAAGTGCAGCATATAGAATATCCTTTGGCAGGCAGTATTTGAAAATATATAATTTTCTATTTGATTTAAGAAATTGGTTTATTTTCTCTTATGAGAAAATAAGGTAAGTTAATAATCTTGCCTGAGCCCAGAATCCTGTGTTTCTACATTCAAGATATAGAGTTTTTAGACTTTAACAAAGATAAAGCAAAATAATTATTTTCTAGAATTTTATATTCTTATAACATGTGCCCTGTCATCTTTTGTAATTTGACATTTTGTATTCACACTCAATGCTTTTACCATATCCCATCTCATCTTACAATAAATTCTTCCCAAAATGCCATGTTGCATTAACTAGGTGTCACTACCAGAAAACTCAGTGCTGGCTTCATCCCTGGCCATTTCTAATGTGTGTGTTAGGTAGAGTTGTACAGACTCCACAATGGACAGGCACATATATACATCACCAAACTACAGGCAGAAATATTGTCCCTATCCTCCCTTCCTCTAAGAATACTCAGTATTTCATAGACAAGAAAATAGCAGAGGCACCTAATTTGAGTATGCACTTTGAAGTCTGAGAGACTTGCAGCTATGTGGATTGGGACGGACCGTCACTGAAACACTCTGGGGCTTCATTTTCCTCATCTGTGAAAAAAAAGAACAGTAATGTTTTTCCCAGGAGTTACTGTGAGGACTTGATAAGATTAAAGCAAAGCCTTTAGCGAACATGGTACTGGCAGATTTATGCACCCAGTATTAATAGGCTATACCTTAGAATTAAAAGAACTAGTACTCCCTCTATTATATATTAATAGTAGCAAAATTTTGTGTGTCTGCAAGTTGTGTTTGTGGTATGTGTGTGTGTTTTAGAGTGAGAGACAGAGAGAATGTCAGAGAAGGAAAGGGCAAAGAACATGAAAGGGAAGAAAACTTGTGTGTACAGATAGATGTTTTAGGATTAGAGGATTAACATGTTTTCTGCTAAAGCAAAATATTTAACTTTGGTTACAGAATGCTATAATGACATCAAGTCTATGATGACACAGGAAAAATAAAGCACAAATTTAAGGCAATGATTACATAATTTCTTCAAAACTCTTTCTAGGAGTAAATGGGGAATTAGTAATCTGAGGTAGAAATTCAATTTATTAAATTATTTTCAAGTTTCTCCTGACTATATAATAAGAGATAAATAAAACATTTTAACCTTAGGAAATGCATAGATTACTGACATTTAATTCACAGAAAATTGAGAGTCAATTCAAAAATACTGTGCAATTAAACTTTTACAGAAAATATTGCTGCATTAGTGTATCTAAGGAAAGGCACAGCAAACACAAATGGCAGAGGTTTGCATAACAGACTTAATATGAACTCACTTTTACCAAAAACATTCAAATGTTGTTTATTCTAAATCATAAAATGCAGCTCATTCATCTATCCACACATTTATGAAAGCTTTCTTGGTAAATTAGGAAAATCAATGTGATTATGAGGCTATTGGTGGAGGTTAGGAGTAGTCCTGGCACAGTTGTCTTGGCCTCTTTCCTGGAGGCCCTTTTGGGAAGAGATGCCTTTTGCTTCCCACACGTTTGTTGTCCAATCAACCACTGGGCATCTGGTACAGCAGATGGGCTCTGCTGCGTACCTGGAACAGCCACCAGTAAGTGCAATCAATGCTTTCTCTACTTCGGCATGAACTTAGTTATATGTTCTACTTTCAAAGCGCTCGTTCTAGGAAATATTTATTGATCCCCTGATATATGCAAGGTTGTGAAGATTACCAAGGTTAACATGAATACAAATCCTTACCTCAAGAGCTTTGCTCACCTTTACTTCCAAGTCCCATTTCTGATGTTTTTCTGATCATGTTACTTCAGGCCTGGCACAGATTGGATTACGTTATAATAGTACTCTCATTGTCATATTGAGTTCCTTTTTTATGATATCTGTCCCCTTTTATGTGTTTGTTCTGTTTTTTCAGCTATCCCAATTTCATGCCTTATTTCACCTTCGGAACTTATTTCTTCAGAACTTATACACAGTTTATTATAGAATGGTACTAGGGATAAGGATTTCTTAATTATTCCAAACAAACTAAGGAAATTTTTCAACACACATATGCCCCAAGTTCACCCAAGAATATCTGAATCTGCAGGCCCAGATGGTTGTTCTGGTCTTATGGTTTCTGTCCAGATTTGTTCATATTACTGACACTGATTACTTAATCACTGAGTCAACAGTGACCTCTGGGTTATGAGAATGTAGTTGTCCCTCAGTAACCCTGAGACATTGGTTACAGGATCCCCATGGATACCAAAATGTATAGATGGTCAAGTCCCTTACATAAAATGGCATATTTTTTAATATAACCTATGCACATTTTCCTATATTCTTTAATTCATCTCTAGATTACTTATAATACTTAATACAATGCTTATATATCACATCATCATGTGGATTCAATGTCCTACTTAGCACACAACAATTTCAAGTTTTGCTTTTTGGAACCTTGTAGAATTTTTTTTTCCCCAATATTTTTGATTAGCAGTTGGTTAAATCCACAGAGGTGGATAAAAAAGGCCAACTGAATATTCTTTTCTTAAACTTTGAGAATTTCCTGGTGTGATTTTGATAATAATTTTGCTTCTTTTATTTTTTGCAATGAAGGGTAGGAGGTGGAGTGAGTGGAGGGGAAGATACTAAAGAACCTGACTTGTGACAAACAAATGCAGCAAATAGGAGTAATATATATAGACATTTCAAAAAAATGAAAATGTGAAATCTTTGTCTTGAAATGTTAAAGCCCAAGTTCTACTTAGACACTAGTGTTGTCAGAAAATATTTGGTCAGAATAGAAAGTAATTGTGCTTGCAAGAACTACGAAGCAATAAACAATTATAATACAATAAGCCATAAACATATGGCCTACTAAGAGCTTATAAATTAAATTTCTGTTGTGAAAAACAAAAGGAAAAACCATAGATTTGATGGATTCTTGTTTTTCTGCTTAAATTTCATTGAAGCCAGCATCGGTTATTTTTTCTCTTGTAAGATGAGACACTTTGTCTAAAATGAAATCAAAGAATGCCTGCATCTTCCTGTACATCAAAATCTCCTTCCTCTGTTTCAAATTAAGAGGAGCTCCTCCTAGCTCTGGCTCCCTTATCTGAATCTTTTCCTTTCCACATTCTCTAGGACTTTATTCCATCAATTTGCTCCTTTTTTTCCCTTGCTCTTCAACCTTCATCTCTTCATTTCTAACTATGTTCAGGTCTTTTCAATGATAATTAAGTGCTCACATACACACACATTCAAACACAACAAAAATAAGATGCCTTTGTTTTTTGTAGATATTTTCTCCTTTTTTGATTCTGGCAAGAATGCATGTTTGCACTGCTATGTTTCAAAGAAATAAAACAGGATTTTCAAAATATAAATAAGCATATTCAAAAGCATAAAATAACATTTTAAAGCAAACCTCAAATACTATTTAGATACAATTAAGAAATAAGCAATATTTTCTAAATACATTATTCTTTATCGCCTCACTTTTCTATTTATGTTACAATTTACCTATTATTAGTACTGCAGTAAATACAGGCATTTTGTATGTTTTCTATATTAATAATGGTGCACAATTGAAAAGCTTGGTCACTATTAAGTTAAAGAACATTGGCTTCATAGAAGCTCTTCCTGCAATATTTGAATACATATAAAATCCCAATCAAAGCTAAGATATAAAGCTGCATACCTTTATTTCCAAGCTAAAGTCATTTTAAACACTGAAAAGTAACTACAAGCATAATATTTACTGTAAAAATTTCATTAAACATTTCATTGATATAAAAGTTAATGAGTCCATAACTCTGAAAACATTACCATTGGTAGTGAAGAACACAGAATCTCTATATTATTTCTTACAACTTCTTGTGAATCTATAATTATCTAAAATAAAAGTTAAAGTTAATGAGTCAAAATTTATCAGGTTGAATTTTTGATTCTTATAGGCAACATTAATAATGTTATCAGATCATGCTCATAATAGTAGAATTGCAAGATAATATGAACTGTTAGCCAAGTTGTTCATGAATAACTTAAGATAATGTATCTTTTGAAGCTCATAATTTATTTTAATGCACATGTATCACAATATATATCTATAATAGCAAAAGTTATTCCAAAAATTGAGTATATAGAGTAAAAAGTTCAAAATCTCTCTCACCAAGCCTTACCCCTAATTTCAACCCTTTTCTCAGGAAAAGTCATTGTTACACATTGCATTTGCTTTATTTTAGTTAGAGTATTTTCAATATATTTTCAGGTAAGTACAAAAAAGATTGAATCTATATTTTAACAGCTATGTAATATTCAATATCTGCTTAAAGTTGACATGCCATACATCACTTAATCATTTCCTTATTAATATCCAATACTTTATTATTAACAATAAAAGGTACAATTAAGGTTTTCTACATATATCTTTGTCTAAATATATTTCTGTAGGATATTAAATAGTTGAATTTTTGAATATTCACCTTTAAGATCTGAGGATTCTCAAATTATCCTCCATAACATATTAATTGGATTTTATGAGGGTACAATTTTCCCAACAGAGTCTTTAATACAATATTAACATTTTAAGACTGACAGCCTAGCAGGCAAACCATTAGATATTTTTATTATTTTAATTTCATTTTACTGATTTCTAAAGGCATTTGAAGTTGTTCATATGCTCTAATTGTTGGTGCTGGAAATGTTTCATGAAAATTTTGTTTTATTAGATTTTAGAACAGAAAACCAAATATTATTGACAGGATGTTTCTTTTCAGGTTGAAATGTCACTATGTTTAACAAAATATTGTTTTAAGACACACAGGAAAAGAGAGGCACAATGCAATATATTAAAGCATCATCAGACCAATATAACACAGTGTAATTTTTAACTGCAGAAATTAAATCATTAAAGTAACAATCACTAAGTTTTGAATCTCAAAGTATGACAGTCTAGTTTAAAATAGAACAATTATACCCATGAAAATAAAAAACATGAAAATATCTCAGATTTAAGTGGTTGTAATCTGCATGAGAGAAAGGGTGGGAGATGGAAGGAAAAACACATACCTACTACTGATTTAGTCAATATATTTGTTTTTCAGTTGAGCAAACTAAGGTCCATAGTGATCACATGACTTTCCAAGGTCATACCACTTTCTAGCCTGGGCTCTTTCCCCAATACTATCCTGTGTTCAATTTCCTTGTGCATTTTCAATTTTTATAAATTTGTTTTAGGATGTTGCCTTATTAAGCTAACTGATTCTATTGGCATTTTTCCTAAGTATTTATCTAATATACTTACCTACATAGAAAAGTAATATGAAGTTCACAATTTGAAGTAATAACAACTGAATTCTCCCACGTTTTGATATCCTTATACGAAATACAGAGTCTGATCTTTTCTTGTTTTTTTTATTTTCATGAGTATAGGTATTCTATTTTCAACACATGTTTAAAGAACATTGATTTCTGTCTGGATTGCATTGTGGACACTAATTTTTCTTATGTGCAATGCCTTTTACATAAAACTATAATTTTGTATCATTGAAAAGTTCTTGAAAAGTTTCATAATGACCCATGAAGCAATACCAAATCGGTATTCTAACCCTTCCTCTTCCTTGTTATATCTAAGTCAACTGTGATTAAGCTCAACGTTTTCTTTCAGTTTCTCCCCAAAGAACTACATCACTTGTTGTGTTACTTCAACAAGATTTCCATTTCTGCTGCTCTGCCAATATCACCTTGTCCCTCAGGAAATGAGCTGTGCACAAAGGCATAATCTTTAAAGAACAAAGTATATCTAAAATATCTCCATGACCACTACCCAATACTGCTCCAGAGCTCTGCAGAATACTAATGTTGACTCAGAGGAGTAATGAATAAATAAACACAATTAGATATGTTTATGATATTGTCCCACGGTTTTTTCTGTAAAAATGATTTGAAAACAAATAGTTCAGGTAATATTAGATTTGGATGATCTCTATCATGATTTACAGTTGTCAGTTACAAAATTGATTGACAAAATTAACAGAAACTTTTTAGTACAGCCTAATTGTTAATGTTTTATATATATTTTAATTTCTTGTATTTTAAATTGTTGGTTAGCAAAGCTATTTTTAGGCTTGCAAATAAACGTAATGGTAGAAATTAATGTCAATTTTAATATTATTTCTTAGGCTATCAAATACCATCTTATGCCAAGCTATTAAAATACAACTCAAAGTGGTACTTAATTTCATTAGCAATTAAAAGAAAGGGCATTTTAGCAACATTTACTGACACTCTAGGTAGTTGATATTATTCTAGCATTAAATTCTAACCAAATTTAAAATTGTGAGGGTAGGAGTGAGTCACTTTAGTAAATTAATGGCAAAGTGCTCATTTTTCTGTGTGACTTTTATACTTTTTAACTGTGTCTGTGAAAGAGAGACAGAGACCTAGAAACAGAGAGAGACAGAGATTAGTTTCTGGCTCTTGATTGTAAAGGATTTTCTAATTCTTTTTACAACCACCCTTAAGTCTGAGCTAATTTTGTGTCTGATATATGCATCATTTGGACAATTTTGGAGAGTTCTCTATATCAAACCTCCTTCATTAAAATCAAAACATAAGTCAGTAATACAATTGACTTTGGTAGAAAGAAATCAAGATGAATTAAATATTCTATTTTGGTTCCTAGGAAATAGTAAACCAGATGCCAATAAACTGTTGATTGAAAGTATCACACCTCTTTAATATACATACTATTTGTTTTGTCTGTGGTTATTTTGAAATATTTCATATAAAACTGTTGGAAAGAGGTATATTTGAGAAGCCAGGTAT